CCCCAAAACCCCAAAACCCCAAAACCCCAAAACCCCAAAACCCCAAAACCCCATTAGTGCCTTAAATAACTGAAATACATTAAATGTAACTTAACGCTTATATTTGGGCCATTTCAGAGGGGATGAGGTGTTAGATCGACTTCTGTGCCTTTATTCTTCTCTGCAGAAGCTTCCTGATTTTGCGCAGATTTTTGCGGTTTACCTTCTCCTTTTTCTTGAGAATGTCTAAGGTACTTGGGGTCTCAGCTAGTTGTCTCCAGTTTTTGTTAATCAACTTCTTTCTACCAAATTTGTGTTCATGGAAGATCTTGTGTAACAGCTTATGAATCTGGTATTTATTTTTCAGAAATTCACCCCATCCGGTTTACCAGATTAAGTTTGAATCTTGGAGGTGGAGAAGGAGATGCATTCTCCTCTGATGTTTCTAAGCAATCCTTAATCCAAGAGAGGTCCTCGTCATCGTGAAGTTTCGCTGCAGACTTATTTATCCTCATTAAGTATCTCCTCTTTATAGCAGATTCTATTTCTCTTTGCTTCATTCTCTCAACTTCAAACGAACTTCAGACTTTGGCAAGCCTGGAATTGCTCTTGGATTCCTTCTTATGGTTAGAGTAGTTCATAAGACTGGAGTATTGATTACCTAAAGATATCTTGGGACTAATTACCGACAAATTTCCTGCTTTTTCTAGACTTCCTCCTGGTCATAAATTCTCCTTTTAGCTCTCTTTGAGGCATCCTGGAAGACACACATACATCATCATATTCAGAATTAACCGAATTTTTTCTTTTCGAAATTGTATAATTTCTTTGTTCTAAATTTCCTGATTAAATTTTATTTTTAAATTGGCGAAAGTTCTAACTGGGCTAACTCTCGATCCAGAGGAGACGTACTAGTGAGGTATTGCTTTGATCCGATTTGTAGGAGTGGCTTGAGCCTTGTTTCAGGTTTGGATTCCCTTGAAACTATTCATCATTGCTGATTTACTTACTTCGAAAACCAGCACCAATTGTGCTGACGTCTTCTCCATTAATGATTCTATACAGATGGTCAAGATTATTTGTTAAGAATAAAGATTTTAGATGTAAAAATTATGAATATTTTAAAAATAAAAGCCTACATTGTCTTTCCGTTCTTCATTTTCCCGAATTATATCAAAAATGAAAATTTTCAATAATTAAAAAATGTTAAGGGGTTTTGGGGTTTTGGGGTTTTGGGGTTTTGGGG